AATCCAGCACTCATCATTAGTCTTCATGATAGTTACAACTCCTCCTGATGTTCCACATCAGGACCAATCAGAAGTAAAGCCTTTGGTAGCGGGGCACAGAAGGGCAAACACCTGCAAAAGTTAACCGCAGGTGAGAAAGCCCCACCCCCTGAACAGGTACAGGTAAAACCAGGTCACCGAGCTGCTACTGGTTCACCTGGCAGCTGATGATGTCACACTAACCGAAATATTAAATCAAATGTTAAATGTTTGTCCTCCCACAACTTGGGCGACGGTGGCACAGGAGTTAAGCGCTCGCCCCGTAATCGGAAGGTTGCAGGTTCGAGCCCCGTTCAGTCTGTCGCTGTCGTTGTGTCCTTGGGCAAGACACTTAACCCACCTTGCCTGCTGGTGGTGGTCGGAGGGACCGGTGGCGCCTCTGCACCCCAGGGCAGCTGTGGCTACATCGTAGCTCATCCCCACCAGGGTGTGAATGTGTGTGTGAATGGGTGAATGACTGGTTGTGTTGTAAAGCGCCTTGGGGGGTTCCAGGACTCTAGAGGGCGCTATACAAATACACGCAATTTACCGTTTGTTGCAAATCAAACATCAGAACGTTGTTTTTATGTTTTTCATCTTCTTCCACCTGCTGTGGTCTCTATGGTTTCCTCCAGAGGTGTGTGACCAAGTCACAAGTAAGTCACGAGTCTTTTCAGTCAAGTCCAAGTCAAAGACAACCAAGTCCAAGTCGACTCCAAAGTCAATGATGTGGAAGTCCAAGTCTCTGTGAACAGTCCTTAACTTTTAATTTTCGAGTCATAATCAAGTCATGTGTCCAACTTTAATTTAATGACGATGATAATAAATAAATCCCAGAAATAAAGATTCTTAAAGCTTAATTTGCTCAAACAAGCAGAAACTGAACCTGGTTCTAAACAAAGTTCTGCTGCGTTCAGCAGAACAAGATCAAACCCAGAACCAAGAAGGATTTGTGATTTTTGTCCATGTCGGGCCACTTTTGTGCTAAAATATCAAATATGCTCAAGTCATCATCAAGTCAACAGATGCAAGTCGAGTCAAGTCACAAGTCATTGGCGTTCAAGTCAGAGTCAAGTCGTAAGTCTTCATAGATTTTATCAAGTCAAGTCAGAAGTCCTTAAAATAATGACTCAAGTCTGACTCGAGTCCAAGTCGTGTGACTCGAGTCCACACCTCTGGTTTCCTCTCCATCTTCTCACAAGTCAAAGAAATAATTCCCACATACCGGGGCTCTGCTATAGGGTCTGTCCTAACGAAACACTAAAAAGTCCCGAGTGAAACCACCGGCGCCTTCTGCTGCTCACGTCTCCAGAGTTTCCTTTAGAGCAGTGGTTCCTAACCTGGGGGTCCCGACCCCCACAAGGGGGCGCCAAAGCCTCTCAGTGGGTCGCCAGGACCTCTCCACTTTAAGGGGTTAAAACTTCATTTATTACTTGTTTATAGCCTACATTTTGCTCACATTTTTTTTCATGAGTGAAAAGTTTACTGATATTAAGACAGGAAATAATTAGTACAGAAAAAGTAACACACTTTTAAGAACATTTTGCTCAGCTCACTGTTTTATTTTCAAGTGTCAAAAGTTCATTAACTCATTCACCGCCAGCCGTTTCCTGATCGCTAACGGCCTTCGCTGCCAGCGTTTCTCACCGTTTTTACTGTTTTTTTAAGAGTCACAGAACGTTGCGCGCTAGCATGATATCGATGCCAAAACAACCAAAACAAAGAGGAGACTCACCTCTTACATCAGGAAGAAGCCGCGTGTTTCGAGCGTTATCCGTTCTTTCATAATCCGTTGTTGAATTGTGATCGGCAGACGCTTCTCCGGTTCGCGCCTCACTTTTTTTACAGGAACGGCCCAAAACGATCTCCAAACACATGGATGGTCTGCTTCCTGACCATGTGATCTGTGACGTATGCGGATGAAGATCGGCTTCAGGGCTGAGATGCTTGTTCTATCAGCGCGGGGGCTCGTTCCGATGCTCAAACAGTAAAAAAATGCAAATGACGACTTTAGTCGTCATTGGCAGTGAATGAGTTAAAGATAGGACTGGTTGATTAATCACAGCGTTTACTTTAAATAATCTAGTATAAACAGTAATATACACATTTAAGTACATTTTGCTCAGTGTATTTTTTATGTGTCTAATGTTTATTGAAAGGAATGATTGATTTATCAGTGTTTACAAGAAACAATGTGTTCAGGAAAGTAATACAACTGACTTTGTTCTGTACTGGAGCCTACTGTTACTGTTATCTATTGAATCAAAGCATATTAAAATGTGCTTGAACCATTTTATCATTTCTTAATAATGTTTGTACTGGAAGAGAGAATGGGAGGGGGTCGTCAGAAATTTTCCTGGTAAAAACGGGGTCCCTTGGGAAAAAGGTTGGGAACCACTGCTCTAGAGCAACTTCGCCCAGCAGCTGCTCGTCTGAGAACCCCACGCGTGTTTGCTTCTCTTTGCTAACCATCTTTAAACAGTTCACACATGAAAACGCTGGTGCTGGGTTTCAGACTGCATTTTTACAACGTTTGTATTGGAATCTTGGGTTGAACATTGGAATTCTTAAAGTTTATTTTATAAATTTTCCCGTTTGCCCAGGTGTACCTTGAGTACTTACGTTACTAATTTAGGAAACATTCCAAGAATTAAATTGTGTTCATTCTTTTGGCTCATCCAGGATTCCTTCGGTCTGAAGGAACACAGCTGGAGAACTGTGACCAGTAGCCACTGATGGTTACCATGGTGACCCAATGAGCCATTGACTCCAGTTTTAACATTTCTGTTGAACTTGGGATTTCTTTACACTTTTAATGCAATCTTAACATTAAAGTGTGACTCATCTGCCATTTCTGGACCTTTTGTGTATCTTAATTTTATGTCATTTTTATCTTAATTCGATTTTAAGCCGTTTTTAATTATTTTATTGTGTTTGTGAAGAACCTTAATACTGAAAGGGGATGTAAAGCAACCCTTCTTCTTCTCCTGCTGTTGTTATAGAGTTGATGCTGGAATTTGGAACGTGGGTGCCTTTGAGACAGCAGAAGCTCAGGAGGTAGAGCGGGTTGTCCAGTAATCAGAA